GAAATATGAATATTTATGCCATGTTGCTGTAGGTTTTTTGAAAGTGAAAATTAAATCATCTTGCAAGTAAGGTGGAGAATTCCCAGGGGCCCACTTTAGCCAAAATACACTCTATAATAACTTGCCAGGCTTGCTCAGCTGTATAGACGAGTGTCGGGATTTTTCAGTATCTGGTTCTATCATCTCTCCACCCCCTTCATATATTTTATTGTATCAGTATACATTTAGCAGCAAATGCAGCAGATAAAAAGCTGATTTCCATTTGCAGTAAAATAGTTAGGGATACTTATCTGGTCTTTGGGGATCTCTATAAACAAATGTAGCAATGCATGAGGCGCATATGTGTTGCCTTTCCTCATCAAGTGGTACTATAGGAAAGTGTAACACTATTGTGGACATTTAGGTAAATAACTGGTTCCTTTCATGTTAGCTTCCTTGACTCCTGAAGTAGTGTGCAGCTACTGAGGGAAATACAAATACCACATTGGGCATAATTAGTAGAGGAACAGAAATTAAAACTGCCAGTATGATATTACCAATCTTACAAGCTTGTGGTGTGACCACACTTGAAACTATTCTGTACAGTTCTGTTCACTACACCTAAAAAATCATACTGTCAAAGAAGAAAAAGTATACAAAAGGGCAGGTTGTGATCAAGAAGCAGTAGTAGTTAACAAAAATTACATTTTAGGCTTTTTAATCTGGACAGAAAGGGAGAGAATAAAGGGAATCGTAAAACTGTGCATGGGGTAGACAAATCAGATAGAGAGCTGTTTCTTCCCTGTCTCATAATATTAGAGCCCAAAGTCATATGGTGAAGCTGAATGGTAAAAATTTCAAGAACAATATAAGGACATTTTCCACATGCATTCACCAAAAACTCTGAAGAGAACTCATGCAATTATTCTCCGTATGAGCAAGAACTCTGGAAAATATGCACTCTTGAGCTGACTGGATAGTTCAGTGACTAAGAGAATAAGGAACTGGGAATTTGATTCCTCACTATGCCTTGTGGGAGAAGAAGCTGCCTGTGTAGTCTTGGGCAAGCTATAGATAACCAGCGCACCCCAAGAAGAAGAAGAAGAAGAAGAGAATGGTAAACTACTTCTGAGTATTTTATACCTAGACAACTGTAGAAAGGGGCACCATAAATTGGAATCAACCAACTTGATTGCATGTAATTGTTCGTGGGGAGAGTTTACATCTGAACTTGGAAACTACCCTCTATAGACTCATCACTGCATGCATGTGGAAAGGGAGTACATAGGACTGGCATTCCTCTTGAAGTATGTTGACCCAAAAGTCTCTAACTCCTGAATAAATCTTCTGTCTTAGAAGTGTTATGCAGGACCTGAAACCCACCACCACCACCTTTTGCTTTATATTGTCTTTTAAAGTCTGGTGCTTGTTTACATGTGGGTAAATTCCAAATGGGCACAATGGGATTTATTTCTGCAAAACTTTGCATGCAATGACACTGTTGGTATTACATGCAAGATTCTTAACAAGATTCAGTAAATCATCAAATAATGAGGAAGTCCAGCTGGGGATAGAAAAACTGAGAATAAATTCTCCATTTGATTGTGTTGTGAGTCAAGGTCCTAATGGGTTGCTGGATTTAAGGCAACAGTTTGTAATTGAAATTTTGAAATATAGAGAATTTCAGGACAACTCTGTTAGAAGCCTAACTCCCCCCCATGTGTGTGTGTAGACACACACACACACACACACACATGTTTACCTTATTAATAATAAATAGGTTCAGACCTTGTCTGTAGTCCATACAACAAAAATGTATGCAGTGTATGTGTGCTCAGACTTTTTTTTGGAGCCTTCCTTTCTCTGAGCATGCCTTTGTTTCCCTCACTCTGTGCCTTTCCGGTGTTTGCTTTCCTAGAATCCTCACACTCCTCTTGGGGCCGGATTCCAGGTTCCCTGTGATGCCCATTTTAGGGTAGTTATCTGTGCTTATGCTGTAGCCACGCTTAGCAGAACTATGTAAAAAAGCAGAACAGCAAAAGTTATTCCTGAACAAAGCCACAGGCAGATAGCTGACTGTGTCCGTGAATTTTCTAAATCTGAAGGACAGAATATCACAGGGAGCTTGCAATCATCAGGGTCCTCTGAAGTTCATAAAAAGCCCAGGAGATAATGTCATTGGGACAGAATGTTGTCAGAGAATAATGGTCTCCTGCTGCTAGATTAAAGCCTGCAAAGGCTGAGGCTTCTTAGCGAAAATACACACAAGCAGAACCAAACTATTTATGGCATTTTCAAAGTAGGAGGCATTTATCTTGTAACAACATCCTACTCCATTCACTGTGCCTTTTTGTTGTAGCAGAATAGAAAAGAAAGATGCCATTGTGCAGAATATATGTAGTGTGCTTCACAATTCCTCAATTGATTCCATCTTGCATGCTTACATTGCTCTGATCATTGACTGAAACTGTAAGCATTGTTACATGGCATTCACTCCAAAATACATGGATAATACATGCCTCAGTGGAAAAAGGTTTAGGATTGGAGAAGTCCCTTTTTAATACATGTTCTATTATTATTAATTTTATTATGAGTGTTACTATACCTCATCTTTCAGTGCTTATATGTGCCATTTCTTAATAGGCTTCTCATATGCCCTAGGCCAAAAGTCTCCAGCCCCCAGTCCACGGCCTGGTGCCGGTCTGTAGCCTGAGCCGGACTGGGCCATGGAGACAGATCTCGCCCATCCCACGTGCACTCCCCTGCACACCCCCTTTGTGCATGCGCACATGCACATGCACCCGTGTGAGCACTCCTCTACCCCTCTGCACATGCGCATGAGCAAGCATGCACCCATACAAGTGTTGCACCGCCCTTCATGCATGCACATGAGCACCCTCCTGCTACTTCGCTCATGCACCCATGCACATGCGCGCCCACACAAGTGCCTTCCTGCTACTTTGTGCAAGCATAGATGCTTAGTCTTCATTCTAGTTCTTATTCTGGTAAATATGAGGCTAGATTACTGTCATGCCTTCTATATAGAATACATTTCTAGGTGAATTTGGAAAGTTCTCATACTACAAAGTGTAACACTTAGATAGCTACGCAAAATAGGCTGACAACACAGCACATATTAACATCATATATCACCAGTGTTCAAAAGTTCGTATCAGATGCTAAACTGGTTCTGGGTTTAGTTCAGAGGGCTAATCTTAACCCTTAAAAATTCTAAAGAACTAGAAACTTGGATAAGAAAATAATAAGCCTATCCACTGTTTAAGACCTCCTTCTGAACTCCTTCATTTCCAGAGGTTTTGCAGTTGGTAAACAGAGACAGAGCCTTCCCGAAAGCTACTCCCAAATTATGAACTTCATTCTTTTAAAAGGTGTGCTTTATCCTACTACTCGGATTTGCCACCACATGGTATATGTACTCTTCTCCCACATTTTTAATTTGTGTTTAAAAGTTGGAAAACCCTTAAGCTTCAGATTGTTGCTTTCTGGGTTTGATTCATTTTACTTGCTGGTATTCTGTTTTGCTCAGCTGCTATTGTTGTTGTTGTTATTTTAACATTCTTTATTGTGAACTGCCTTCATGCTGTCTATATAATATGCTATAGGGGCATTTTTTTTCCAGACCATTCAGGGTCCTGAAAAATCAGGGTTTTTGATTACCATATGTAGAGAGGCTCCACAGTGTAGCAGACTGTCCTTCATCACATGGTGACAGCAACAGGCAGGATGGGGCAAAAAAATCTCCCTAATTGTGCTTTCAGATTAACCTTTTTTTTAATGCCCTAGCCGGGCTATGGTTTCAGTGACAGCTGCTGCCAGTGATCGTAAGGCAGGCTTCACCAACATTATGGCCTGTTGTGACATCTGGATCATGGCTTGCCATGATGGAATTGAGTCACATGAGCTTTGCACTCAAGGATCTCTCTTCCACCTTACCCACAAAGACCAGACTTTTTTTAACCTAACCACAGCATAGTGTTACGTCCAGACCATAAAATCAATCTTAACTATGGTTTGCATGGCTCATTTCAAGCAATAGTTATGTATTTGTCAGATTTGGGTGAAACAAGTCTATATTTAATCAGAAATGGAAGTGAGTACTTCAAAACCATTCTGCACAATTGGCTGGAGGAGGTGCAGAGGGGTGCTCATGGCTGAGTTTACTGCAGTTTATTCCCATCAGGAGAGACCATCATTTATTGTGACATTAGAACGCAGCTACACGTGAATTGCAGAAAAAATGTCTTTGGCTAGTAGACATCCAGTGGATGTTGTGTGTATCATTTCATCTGACAAATCATATTAAGACAATGTGAGCTATTCATGTATTCTAGAATCCAAAAAGTAGGTTTAGATTCTGTAATTGTAGCACTATTGGTCCATCAGTGTTTATACAGTTTTACTGGAGCAGTTGCAATAGTCTCTAAAGAGGAAAAAAAAGCTTGAGACTAGAATAAGCCAATGTGATTTCAGGCAGGGGTGGGCAATTGTGGCCCTCCAGCTATTGTTGGCGTGCAGCTCTCATAAGCCCAACCCAGTACAGTCTCTTGTGAGCAATTATGGGAGGCCTAGTTTTTAAAAAAGTAGTTTTGCCCACCCCAGTAGCTTTGATCTTGAACTTGGATCAAATTTTCAAAGATTTGCCAAGTGCTAGAACAAACTGAGGATTTCAGGCTAGTCACTAGTCCTCAGTCTAGGTTAGGTAGCTGCCCATTCAATGCATCAGCAGCCCCTGTCTTCTGCCTTGGCTTTTATAGCTATGCAAAGCTGGGTCCTGGTGGACAAGCGCTTGAAGAAGCGAAACAAAAGCTGATGAGCTAAAGTCACCCCTTTTCCTTCCTCCTGGGTTCAGAACCACTGAGTTGGCCAAACGTGGGTACGCTTGCAGAACAAGGGACTAGTAACAGCTACCACTCCCCACCTGTGGGGGTATATCATTTCTTTTTAACCACTCCTTGCTTTACCTCAAATGAAAGGCATTTATTGTCTTGTTGCATTTACAGTGCAAATTGGAGTTTCATGCCTGCACATCTGGCAAAAACATTGGAGCTCGTTGTGAAGGGCCCTGCCCATGCCTTCCAGGACAAGAAAGTTCAAAACACAAGATGGAGAAGCCTGGTGAGTTAATCTGTTGAATTCAGTATCAAATGCCTTCCTAATTACCTTTGTTATCATGCTGGACATACAACCTAGTCTTTTTCATGTTTGTTCAGAAAGGGAATACTCTAAATTCAGTGATGCTTACCACCAAGTAAATAGCCACAGGATTGCCATTTACACAGTGGCCCTTATGTGAAAAGCAAAAGCTTTGTTTTTCACAGAGCTCTTTTGTCAGAATCAGAGAAGGTGGTGAAAAGGCCTCCTGCCAAACATGATGGAATCCCAGGCCGGTGATTCTCAAATGCAGAATGGGTCAATGGAGCCTTGCAGTTCAATTAAAATGTTAATGCAAGTTCAGGTGAAGGACAGTGCAGTGCAAGCAGGTGATCACAATGCAGGTAACATCTTGATCACTACAGGAGCCAGGAGCTGGGTCAGGGAGGAAGAGAAAGGCATCCTTCTACTGCTAGAAATGTATAGAGAGACATTTCAAGGCATTTATTCTGGAACTTTGGTGTTCCATTGGTAGTCTCAGAACCTAATACTAGGTTGATGCCTGTCACTCAGCACGGTCCTATATAAGGTATGTCCTTGAAAGCCTCCGAGCACCTGTGGCATGCTCCTAGATTCCCTCCTATATTGGGGGCCCAAGAAAGTTACATGTGTTTTAAACAAGTACTATGCTTTAAAATAAAACATTTTTCCTTTCACAAAGCCTGTTACATCCAGGAAGATTTTGAAATAAACTGCATTCACTTCCCCCCTCCAATGTGTGTGTGTGTGTGTGCGCGCGCGCGCACACGCGCACGCACACGCACACGCACACGCGCACACATTTTACCTCTTGTGGTCAGTTCCCTCTGTTTTGCATGCCCTTATCAGAAGCAGTATTATATTAATAAATCTTTGGTGACATTTTGAGCTCACAATTTCATTCATACGACAGAATCAATTCTCATAACGCTTATGCTGGTAAATTCAGTGTGACAGGATGTATACATTTATCAGGGCAATCTTTTGTTTTGGTTGAATCCCCAATTAGTTAATTCTGCCACGCAGAGCCCATTGTTTTGTACTTGCTCACTTTCTAAAATGCCATTTCTTAGATGCTTGAAACAATAGTTGTTTGGGAGCTGAATCTCTTAAAGCTGGAACCATATGCTACATCCAAAACAAACTGGAGAAATAACTGAACTGTCATCTATGTGGGTGTTGTATCTCTTAACCATCTGTAAGAGGCATCAAGCTTTCATCTTCTGCCAACTCAGGTGGTAACCAGCGATCAAATGTTAGCTGTCTCATTCCTGTTCCTCTGAAATGTAGGGAGGGCACTGGTGCTCACCAGCTTCTTTGAGAGGTTAAGCAACAACATGGCACCAGCTTACAATCCTATCCCCACTCCCCTGCAGGGTACCTGTTTTTCCTCTCTTTTTTTACCAGAACTACTGTGATCACAGCAGTCAGTCATGTTTTTGGTTAAGGAATAACTCTGGTTTCCCTGAGGTTGTCCTTAATACAGTACCAACATCTGCCAGAATGGCCCTGTGGTCATTGACTAACTCTACTCCACCACTTTCCATGTTGAATGAAGAGCTTGGAACAGGAAGTGGTACTTGCTCAGGTTCTGTGCCACCTGGGTAAAGATTACATGATGCTCTGCGGTGTGGGCAACCACTTACAGGAGGAGTTTCTTATTCAGACTTCCATCAGCATTATAAGAGACTGGGGCAGAGCTAATCCAGGAGGAACAGCAGACCTCATATGAGCGTGCCAGATTTCTAAATACCATAGAATGTGACTCCCTTTTTTATTAACCCCCACTCCCTCTCCCCTCGCACAGGATATCCCACTATGTTTATTGCCCAAAGACTTAATTTAACAGTTAAGTTTGTGCCAGCAGAACTGTTGTTTAATTATTAGCACTGTCTCATTTGTGCTGAGCTAATAGGAACAGAAAGCCTCTGGAAGATTAATTTCTTTCCTCAATGATCATGTCAGAAACAGGGTTCCCATAACTGAATCTTGCTGATAGATGATGCTAAATTTCCATCACTTATGAGGAGCTGAATTTGTGAAATCTGTTCAGACATGATCGTGTGGCTCAGCAGAAAAGAAAGAAGGGAGTGATAAAAACGTTGCTGCAGGAATGTTAGCGAGAAAATACTGAATGGCATTCAGATCTCCAGAGCTCTGAGCAAAATGGAAATGTGTCTTGCCAAACTGCTGCATAAGCTTTCTTAATCCCTTTGTACAGTGGATTAAATATGTGAAATATGTGTAAATGTATATGTTAAATGTGCATCTTCTTCACTTCTAACATGAAAATCTTTACATTATTTTTAAATTATATGGAATTGTCCTTGAAAACCCACTAAAACAAACAAGCAAAAGAGGGTGAGGAACACAGTAGGTGAGCTAATGCCCTATGGTTAGATCTTGTAGGATGCAACAGGAGAATGTAGGTGAATTAAGCAACCACGTAGCATATAGCATATAGAAAGAAAGAAAGAAAGAAAGAAAAAGAAAAAGAAAGAAAGAAAGAAAGAAAGAAAGAAAGAAAGAAAGAAAGAAAGAAAGAAAGAAAGAAAGAAAGAAAGAAAGAAAGAAAGAAAGAAAGAAAGAAAGAAAGAAAGAAAGAAGAACTTCTATGCAGTTAATCCCAGACATCCGCTTTTCCTGTGGCATGAAGTCCCAGTATGGGAAGTAATTAAGAGATTGCTTTGAGTATGTATGAAATGGCCTTGATAGACACAATCTGAAATAAAAATTGACTCTAGGTTGTTAGAGCTTAAGCATCTACATGGATGCCTTCAAGGTGCAATATTAAAGACTAGTGCATGGACTCATTACTGGTCAAGAACAAGTTGGGGGGGCATTCTGAGAAGGGGGTGCAATTTGGCTGCATTCCTCACGGTGATCCAAAGTGTTGCTGAGGTAAGTGCTGTTGCTGCTCTTGCAGTTCTCTTGTGCTGGAGGGCCCTAATTGTTGAAAGTCTGTTTGTGACACAGGAAATCTTGTGCAACTTGGAGCCTATTTTCTGTTGTGTTTTTGCAACCTTGCATGCTGCCTTTGATATAGCTTTGGGTGAAAGGGACCTTTCCGGGCTGGGGTGACTGTCAATTTATCCAGCACTAACCAATAGTTTCCTCCTGCGTCTGATTTCAAAGAGAGCTCTGCCTCTCTACTGTGAGCTTTTTTCCCCGTCTCTTGAGTCTGTTGAAGTCTGTTGTTGAAGGCAGCCATGCTTGTTAGTGTTCTGTTTGATCTGTTCACAACTATAAGAAAATAGTTTGTATTCTTTCTGTTACTAATGTCGCAGAGTGAGCTATTGAGATTGTAAGTGCCAGTTGATAAGAAAAAGGGGTGGATTACTGTGAGGAACATGAAGCTGTTCTGCTTTGTAAATCCGTGCACTGCTGCTGCACAGCTAGAGGAATATAACCAGAAATTCAAAATTTTGCAACCTTATCCTGGGAGAAAGGGATGTGGTATTTCCGAGGCAAAAAGCAAAACTATATGGCCCGATTTAGCAGTGGCTGTTCAGTAACAAAGTGCTGAGTTCACAAAACATTCTCCTGCTACACATCTTTGATGCAGCTCTTGCAGCACTTAATTGCAAGCCTTCTGAAACGAGTGAAATGGCTCAACAATATTGCTTGGTGGATTGAGGCTCATGTTGACAGAAGGGAAAACCAGTCTAATAATTACTTTAATGATATTGTTCTCTATTACAATAGCATCCAGTCTCACAAAGCCATTCACGTAATTATTATTACGTCACTTAAATTGTAAGATAGTGAAAAAGGAAAAATAAGTGCAATGACTAGTATTTTGTCTTCTCTGGCATTCTACATGAAAATCTGTAAGGAGATAATATTATCTGGTGTATATGTTTTTAAAACTGAATGTTGCTCAGTCCTTTAAGAAGCAATGATTTTGTATTAATACAGAATTATAGATGACATGGTGGGGCTTTTTTAAAAGTGGAAACAAATGCTTCATTTCCCCCCTCCATTCCCCCTACTTGTAACACATACTTATGTTTATCAAAACATTTTCTGTGCTACATTACTGAAAACAGCAAGTCCTTCTTGCTGTTCTGATGATAATTTACACCTATGCTATTGAAAGCATAGGCTTCCTGGTAGTCAGCATTAATGTTTCCTGTCCCTTCAAGCAGTGTACCCACTTTTCTAAAAGATATTTATCACAGAAAATCATTCAGCATGGCAAGGGGTGGAATATTGACACCATGGTTATTTATTACTTTAAATGGTGCTGGAACATTTTTTTTAATAAAAAAATGGCCATTTAATAAGGACTGCACTTGATTGAAGCCCTTGTTCTAAGGAGGATGAATCACAGACCAGCACTAACCCTTCTTTTGATCAGCACACTATTTAGCAGCACAATGTCCCACAACCAAAGTGCTGATGCAGTTAGTAAATAACCAACGGTGCTTTGGGTTCTCATGTTCAACACTCGATATTATGAAACTGATCCAGTTTCTTTCTTCTTCTGGTGTGGAGATAGAAACCCATGGCTTCCGTCTATCCTGATGTATTGTATTTGTGTAAGGTTCCTACCCCTTTGGGGGAAAAGAAAGATACATTACTAAAAGCTTTTGGCTGGGTACATATATTGCCTGAAAAAAAGACACAAGGAATATGACCAAATTTCTGCCAGCCTTTATGCTAGTTGTTACCAGTTGAGTTTGATTGGTTACAATAGGAAGTTACCAGGAATAATGTCAAATGGCATTCATATAGCATCATTTTAAAAAACCCTCTAAAACTGCATGAAATCATAAATTATAAAGAAATAATAAACTCCAGCTGTAGTTTTGATTATTCAATGTCTTTCTTTGCATGTTCACAGAACATGAGGTGCCATAATGTTTTTGTCTGTTTTCTTTCTCTTTTTTCTTTTAAATGGTATCCAGGAAAACATCATCAGAAACCTTTATTATGTAGAGTTGGAAGGGAATCTATATCACTCTGTAGCATATTTCACAAAC